CCCCCCCCCCCCCCCTTGACGGAAAATTGACGAATTTTCGGGAAATTTTGACCTAAAATAGGGCTAAAAACAGTCTTTTCGAGTGCAAATGGGGGGACGCCGGAAATTTGAAAGTTTTGTCGGAAATTTAGGAGGCTTTGCCCCCCCCCCCACCGGAAAAAGTGAATTTCCGCCACTGTATGAAGCATCCATAAGCTTTAAATGTGATCCTCTGATAACCGCCCTCTCAAATGCGCCAAAACTTCCTTAACCACATTTAAGTATAGCTTTTCCGAGAAAACGACACTCTTAATTTTGAAAATTAGTTTTACATAATGTACTGCACATGTGACATAAAATGCGTAGTATAACGATTAGTTACTAAAGATTCGATTAATCGATGGTCGATAAAGTCAATTAATTGATCGACCCAAGCTGATACATTTTGCATACATAATTGTAATGTAGTGTTGTAATATCGAAATATGTATCAGTGAATTATTTGTATAATAATAATAACAAAAGCATTTATTGAAACACGATGGTAAATTTACAGCATATAGCAGATGTGGTCGTGCAGTAAAACTAACTACAATATATAAATATAACATTTAACTCTAAGTGAGGGACCGGTCATAAAGTAAAGGGGGGGGGGGACTGAGAAAATCATATATTTGGTGTCTGCACTTTTGGTAGCCCACCCCGTAATAGCTGCACGAACATTTGTAGCCCACCCTTAAATTGGTGCTGATAAATTATGACCCAACATTTCAGAAAGGCGAAAGATACCAGCGTTCTATTTTTCTGTTGCCAAATAATTATGTGTTACAATACTTAATAGCTATTCAAATGCAGGTGCAATTAAATACAGAAAGGTCTTTCTTTGCATGGAACTTCCATGCATATTGCATTATGCAGTATCTCATAATTAGAGACCTTTAGTTTGACATCTACAGCCAACGCCAAACTGCTAACGATGACTTGTGATTTAACTATACACTCTCGTAGAAATTACACTAATTTTGTTACATAATAAAGATCCTACACAAAGCTCGTGACATTTAGCAATATATATAATATCAGAAAATTCAAGTTATTAGCCAAGACAGTAAATTTAACTATTAAGTTTGAGGTTAACGCATGCGGTATATATACATTTTACACATGGATCCTGATGCGTTTTATTTCTATTTTTAATAGCATTTTAATACAGGGATGCCCTTGAGAAAATTTCTGCATATTTTTTCATGGCCCACACCTTATGATTGGTCTTAACTTTCGATGACCCACCCCTTCAACCGTGCTCAAAAATAGTGCCCTCCCCCCTATTTTTCCCAGCCCACGCCCCCCCCCCATTTACTTTATGACCAGTCACTAATCTAACAGAACAACGAATTACACGTCACATAACTGAGATACTATTTTACACAATCCTTGTCGAGTGGAATCGAGTGGGCAATGTTTTTAAAGTTCATTGTCATCTTCAACAAAGCTATCTGGACGGTGTAGGTCGTTGTTCATCCTATCTTCGTTCGTCATCATGCGGTACATTGCACGTGCCTCTTTCTCTAAGCTGAAATATACAGTGTATGAATTACGAATATCATATATGAATACGTTAGTTATTGGGCCTTCTGAGGAGCTGTTCATATGGAGCTGGCCTCGGCAGGGTTAACCGCGATGATTTGTTTCATAAACTGCTTTTATCACGGCTTTGATAGACATATATAAAAATGGCATTTCAAAGTTGAATTATAGCTTAGTTTGATTCCGGTAACAGTATCATGGGCGTACCGGGCGGGAGGGGCAGCCCCCGAGTTTGTTGGGCAAACAAAGCCAGTCGGCAATATTCGCTTCACAGTTGAGTAATATTGGCTTATTATAAAATAAATGGGACAAATTCTGTCAATTATGTGGGAAATATGCTATCTAATAGGAATTTATCGTAATCACTCCTCCCCCCCCCCCGTCGACAACAATTTTGGAAAGTTTCTCCGGAAAATTTTTTTGACAACTCGGGCACAATCCGAAAAAGTCGAGCAAATTTCTTTCCGCCCCCCTAATTTTTTCCTTCCCGTACGCCCATGAACAATATAAAGTTCATTCAAACGGTCTTTCAGGTACTATTTCAAAAACCATAATAATTCATGAGGAAAACACAAAGAAAAATCATAAGCGTGTCGTATCTTTACATGTGATAGAGATTCCCATGATTTAAATTAACTAACTTTGATTTTCTCGACTTACACAATGTATTTTTTGAAAATTACTTCGCCAATGAACTTACTAGATCGATCGTTTTTGAAGCAATTTTAAACATTCGCAGTGGCGTGTTTTATTTGACCTGAAGATTATTATTATTATTATTATTATTGTCTTTATTAGGGTCCACTACAGTATATGTACAAAGTCTAATTATAAAATCGATTATTCGGAGACCCTAAATGGGCGAGGCGCAAACGGGACTCGAAGAACCATGCAAGGCACCTGCCCAAACTTAGTAAAAATTTACTGTTCTGATTGAAAATCTATACTGTTCTGGTAAACCTCGGAGGTGAATACGCCTCATAAAAATCGAGGGTTAGTAAATCCCCCAGTTGCTTCCCACAATGCATTGTGTTCCCATTTAATGAACGAACTGCGGGAAACAACTGGTACTCGGCTAGTCGGCTTCGCCTCGTATCTTTATATCTGATAAAACACTGCTGCCCGCGTTTTAACTATAGTACTTAAAACACGCGTAGGCTAGGAGTGTTTTATCACATATTGAAAATGCGAGTGCACAGCACAAGCATTTTAGGATATGATAAAACACGACTACAAATGTTTTGAATTAATGAATAGCTTTCTATAAAGAATACTAATCAGGATGGACTTTTATATAAAAAATACTAATGAAGATGAGTTTGATCAGGTATAAAGCCTCTTCACGTGACGTCTTATGGTTGACATGATTTGAAGGTCAGGAAAGAGAATCAGTTTCGTGACTGAAAGCACTGGTGTCAAATCTATGCGGTCTGCGTGCTGCTATGCGCAATTCCACTCATCCTGCAATCTCGTACCCAGTCCCAGAGTATGCCCGTTCGCAGATTGCTGATCTATTGCATATTGTCTAGAAATACACGCCTTTTTAATTTAAATATATGAGTGTCAAAGAGATGAGATAGATAGATGGTTCAGTTATTAAAATTACAGCCTTAGTATTACAGGCTTAAAAGCTGAATTCGATCAAGGTTTTACATATAAATTTATAAAATCAGGATACTGAAATACTAACATGATTTACAACTATTAATATTGAAAGTTTAAAAAAGTCTTAAGAACTATGCCGCTGCATGCCATAATATGTATGAAGGAGCTTTTGAGCTTGTCCGTTTTGCATAAAGGTATCGTAGATTGTCTTATTCAGTATTCTTTAACGAAAGTGCATTACAGCCGTCCTCTCTTATCTTACTTCGCTGCAATTGAGAGTGTAAAATTTAAGGCTGTTTTTTTGTCATGAGGATTTACAGTTCAACTTACTGTGTACTCTGTACTGGCTCTGGTTCTCTTTGAAGCTTCATCTCCTTCGGGATTTTTGCATCGTTGTTCAGCATACCCATACGTCTTCGTCTCCATGCAGAACTATAAAAAATACGACTTCTTTTCTTCCAGCTTCTATGAGACACGATACATGCGGCATTCAACAACTAAAACCCCACCTAATTTCTATTAATACTATGAAAAAATTAAGTTCTATATATTGGTGTTTCATCTGAGCTTAATTAAAGATTGCTCGGGAACACAGCAAGAGAACGCTTTGTAGAATTGAGAAGAGACCTAAGAAGAGATTAATGCGGCCAAATAATGAAAATTGACTCGACTCAAATATTGCCGAAGCCGGAGACTCGACAAATAAACGATTCATTGACAATAACAAAATCACAACAAGACAACCTACCTCAAGTCAGCTGCAACAAGTACCAAAAGAAACACCACAAATATCGACCGATTCATCGTGGTTGCCAATCTTGCCTCAGCAATAAACTGTCAACGAAATCTTGTGTGTACTGCAACTGAGCAATGCGCCGTGCCCAAATGACGCGACGGCTTCAGGCGCTGGGTAATATTCTTGGTTTCCACTTAATTAACATCAAACCGCCAGCAAGAACATCCCCTTTTACATCAAAGAAAACCAACAATGCGTGAACAATTAAAGCGTAATAAATATGTTGTTATGTTATGTTTGGCCGTATCGTATGGAGTATTCAACGATATGGAGTAAAGTGGAAACCGTACGGCAGGTGTGACGATATGGTGTGATTCAATATTTAATGGCAATGCAACACGGATACCAAGTCGGTGAACACTGTAACAGCCCGTAACTGGCACTTGTGGTTCTAACAGACTAGCTAGTTTGCATAAGAATAGTTCATTTCTGTACGTGCATACCTGTCAAAACCGCAATAAATCAACTTAACTTGCTATGCAAATTGCTCATTTCAACGTTACTAATCTTTTGAAAAATGTAATATTTTGCTTTCATGTCATGCTATTCCGGAATGCGTGTTTCGTATCTGACTGTCACTTACGTGAAAAGAACCCATCTCTCAAAAAAGTGTAAATAAACATTGGAGCATTTGTATACAAATCTATACACAATATTTTAGTTTGTTTGACGTAAAGTTGTTTCTCCTCCGCTGGTGAAGCGTTACGCTGGATCATTCCAATGACAATGTTGATGACGATGTCCTGGCATGCAACAATACATACTCTGAATTCCGCTTGCTCAACATACCATGATTGTTTACATGTAAAATGATTTACTGTATCTGATGCTACAAATAATCATGCATGTAAAACCTATATCAATGCAGGCCATTCACCGTCAACCACTCATGTACCCCCTTATTACATCAAGTATTGCGCTTTTACTTATAATTATCTATACTTATTAACTTAGCCACTTTCCTAACTCCAAACCCACCCTGTCAACTTTCCCTGTCGAAGGAAACCGGAGCGTCCGAGGAAAAGTCACGACTTTCGGTCTAGTACAAATAAATTTTGTTTCAAATTCGTTATAGCTTATGTACTGTCGTAGATCAGTCCAAACATTTGGTCGATTTTCAGATATATGAATCATCGCATAAGCAAAAATTTTGATAAATTTACGAAAATATTACAACAATTTTGGGAAAAGAAAAATTAATTACCGACTGAAATGTTCGTCAGTTGGGAACGACTTCGGCCACCGCTTTTGGTGGGGCAAAACAAGCTCACCCACCCCCCAGCCGTAATACCCAAGTTTCGCCCTGATGGCTCGCACTTTATGCAGACCCAGCATAATTATGTTAATTTTACGCAATTCGGCTGTCATGTAAAATCTATTAAACTATCTATCTATCTCTATCTATCTATAATCGATACTTTCAAACTGAGTTCATAATGTACTGCACATGTGACATAAAATGCGTAGTATAACGATTAGTCACTAAAGATTCCATTAATCGATGGTCGATAAAGTCAATTAATTGATCGACCCAAGCAGATACATTTTGCATACATAATTGTAATGTAGTGTTGTAATATCGAAATATGTATCAGTGAATGATATGTATAATAATAATAATAAAAGCATTTATTGAAACACGATGGTAAATTTACAGCATATAGCAGATGTGGTCGTGCAGTAAAACTAACTACAATATATAAATATAACATTTAACTCTAAGTGAGGAACCGGTCATAAAGTAAAGGGGGGGGGGGACTGAGAAAATCATATATTTGGTGTCTGCACTTTTGGTAGCCCACCCCGTAATAGCTGCACGAACATTTGTAGCCCACCCTTAAATTGGTGCTGATAAATTATGACCCAACATTTCAGAAAGGCGAAAGATACCAGCGTTCTATTTTTCTGTTGCCAAATAATTATGTGTTACAATACTTAATAGCTATTCAAATGCAGGTGCAATTAAATACAGAAAGGTCTTTCTTTGCATGGAATTTCCATGCATATTGCATTATGCAGTATCTCATAATTAGAGACCTTTAGTTTGACATCTACAGCCAACGCCAAACTGCTAACGATGACTTGTGATTTAACTATACGCTCTCGTAGAAATTACACTAATTTTGTTACATAATAAACATCCTACACAAAGCTCGTGACATTTAGCAATATATAGAATATCAGAAAATTCAAGTTATTAGCCAAGACAGTAAATTTAACTATTAAGTTTGAGGTTAACGCTTGCGGTATATATACATTTTACACATGGATCCTGATGCGTTTTATTTCTATTTTTTAATAGAATTTTAATACAGGCATGCCCTTGAAAAAATTTCTGCATATTTTTTCATGGCCCACACCTTATGATTGGTCTTAACTTTCGATGACCCACCCTTCAACCGTGCTCAAAAATAGTGACCTACCCCCTACTTTTCCCAGCTCCCCCCCCCCCAGATTTACTTTATGACCAGTCACTAATCTAACAGAACAACGAATTACACGTCACATAACTGAGATACTATTTTACACAATCCTTGTCGAGTGGAATCGAGTGGGCAATGTTTTTAAAGTTCATTGTCATCTTCAACAAAGCTATCTGGACGGTGTAGGTCGTTGTTCATCCTGTCTTCGTTCGTCATCATGCGGTACATTGCACGTGCCTCTTTCTCTAAGCTGAAATATACAGTGTATGAATTATGAATATCATATATGAATACGTTCGGCAGGGTTAACCGCGATGATTTGTTTCATAAACTGCTTTTATCACGGCTTTGATAGACATAAAAATGGCATTTCAAAGTTGAATTATAGCTTAGTTTGATTCCGGTAACAGTATCATGGGCGTACCGGGCGGGAGGGGCAGCCCCCGAGTTTGTTGGGCAAACAAAGCCAGTCGGCAATATTCGCTTCACAGTTGAGTAATATTGGCTTATTATAAAATAAATGGGACAAATTCTGTCAATTATGTGGGAAATATGCTATCTAATAGGAATTTATCGTAATCACTCCTCCCCCCCCCCCGTCGACAACAATTTTGGAAAGTTTCTCCGGAAAATTTTTTTGACAACTCGGGCACAATCCGAAAAAGTCGAGCAAATTTCTTTCCGCCCCCCTAATTTTTTCCTTCCCGTACGCCCATGAACAATATAAAGTTCATTCAAACGGTCTTTCAGGTACTATTTCAAAAACCATAATAATTCATGAGGAAAACACAAAGAAAAATCATAAGCGTGTCGTATCTTTACATGTGATAGAGATTCCCATGATTTAAATTAACTAACTTTGATTTTCTCGACTTACACAATGTATTTTTTGAAAATTACTTCGCCAATGAACTTACTAGATCGATCGTTTTTGAAGCAATTTTAAACATTCGCAGTGGCGTGTTTTATTTGACCTGAAGATACTCGGCTAGTCGGCTTCGCCTCGTATCTTTATATCTGATAAAACACTGCTGCCCGTGTTGGTTAGAAATAATTATTCATGCATTTATAACTTCAAGACTGGATTATTGTAACTCCCTGTTGTATGGTGTACCCAAATATTTGCTTCAGAAGCTTCAGAGAGTCCAAAATACTGCAGCTCGTTTACTAACTGATACTAAGAAATCGGCGCATATCACCCCAGTTCTTATCGAATTGCATTGGTTACCTGTCCAATACCGTATTCAATTCAAGATTATACTTCTTGTCTATAAAGTTGTTAATGATCTTGCTCCATCGTATCTGAAGGAACTTATGCTGTGTCGTACTTCGCAGCGTACTCTTCGATCAAATGGAAATGAATTGCTCCAGATTCCTTATTCTAGACTAAAGACATACGGAGACAGATCGTTCTGTGTTGCTGGACCAAGATTGTGGAATGATTTACCTGTTCATCTTCGGATGTGTGAATCATTAACCAATTTTAAGAAGTTTCTTAAAACATATCTTTTTAACTTTTTTTTAAATAGTGTATGATGTATTCTATAGTTTTAACATTCTTAACACTAGTTTTTAAGATTGGATTTTGTATTACTGTAAAGCGCCTAGAACAGTCTTGGTTTGTGCGCTATATAAATGTTTATTATTATTATTATTATTATTAACTATAGTACTTAAAACACGCGTAGGCTAGGAGTGTTTTATCACATATTGAAAATGCGAGTGCGCAGCACGAGCATTTTAGGATATGATAAAAGACGACTACAAATATTTGTGGTGTTACTCTGAGTGTATATCCACACCGGGCGAGCTTGAAAAATATGCCCGGCCACGGTGGGATTCGAACCTACGACCTTTGGAATACTAGCCCAATGCTCTTCCAACTGAGCTACGCGGTCAGGACGGTTCGAGTAAGTGATATTTCGGAACAGAATCTGGTTCCTTCGA